ACCGATATTGCATCGTGTGGGTTTCAGATTTATCGCCATTCGATTGTAATTAGGTTACAAGTAGGCACCATTGTCGAGGACAGAGCGGGATTTATCGATCGACTATTTATCAAATTGATAATCGGTTGCATGGATAATCGGTGGCAATGGGTGGGTGGCGGTCTAAACAGTGGAGCTGGTTTGATTTACTTGTCTATAAATAATAGCAATTTCGTTTTGTGAGTTACGTCCATAGAAATCACATCAACTGGCCTTGGTTATATCGATGGTTGCGTCCTATTAATGACAAGCATATATGTATTAGATATGTAATAGATAAATTATAACTTCATGACATTAAAATCCACTTGTCGAAAATTCATTCGCGATGTTGCGATATATTTTTCTTTTTCTTCTTCATGTCATGTCATACCTATCGTAGACGAAACTTTTCATTTGACAATTAAGCAACATTAACACCATAGGATAATTAGATATCCTTGATTTATGTGAACAACTTCTTTGATGTCATATTAACACAACTTGTAATCCTAAAACTGAACTTGCGGCAGCAGGTTTTTAACCTAAAACTTATTCTATTTTTGTATCAACATTCTATTTACGTAATGTTCACACTTTGTCCAACGTTTTAGTAAGTACCTACGTCTAACATGATGGCACATTTTGATCTTAAGTGTATTTTCTTTCTAAATTATGTTGTACAATGTTATTTTATGCTTAACATAATTCTACTTGAACGGTGTGTGGTCGTAAGAGATCTATTTTTATTGCAAACATCGTAAAATAACGCGAAAAATTGAAGTTACGTGTCAATTCTGACACAGAATAGCGTTCGAAAAGCTTTTTGTATCTTATATTCATTGCTTCTTGTTATTTTTGAAATAAGTTACAATCTACATTACAAAATTAACCTTTTATAATTAATTCACCTAGACGTACCTAATTTGAAAATGATAGGTATCTAGTTTTTTTCGGTCGTAACTCATTGTTTGTGTCTAGGTAGGTACTGATAACACGTAGAAGAGCTTGCACGGAAAATATAAGCTTTTTTTATCTATCTAGTTATTCTCATCTTGCTAATTACTTGTGAAAAATTGTGATAGCAGCGCACAGAAATAGCACAAAAATACTATCATCAAACTTCTGTTCTGGTCCATCATCAGAATAAGGCTGTGTACCTACTGTACACTAGTAAGCTCGCACGTAATAAACGGTTTAGAAATACGGTATTGAATGGGATGGAGGCTATTGACTTGACAAGTTGACATTGCCTATTGAATCAAGCAACTTCCTACTACAGCTTACAGTGGGAAGGAATGGTGAGACAAAATAGGTAAGTATTTCAAAGACCAGAAAAAAAAACAAATTTTAGCATAACATTCCCAACATTCCCACAAACGATATTATTACTTTTAACTTTACATTTTCAGAGTTTTCATTCACCTGCTTATGAAAGAACAGTAATTATTATATTACAACTTGCACGGAAAATCTTTAATTTTATTTTCATGCTTGACAAAATACAGCGTCTAAACTGATTATATTTATATAGATACTACATCAGTAAAAGCTGCGTGAAGATGACGAATGCTGCTGGAATAAAACAGCCTCTTTTGCAAAATGAGCTGATATTCGCAGACATTGAAACTAAAAGTTTCCCTTTACCTACAATAGGAAAATCCTATTTCAATAGGAATATCTGCATTATCTGCATAAAAATCTATGATACTGAGAAGAGATTTGTGTCTGCATTATCCAAGAAAGATATGCTACCTTTTACCGCGAGGAAACACCTAATTATCTACCACAGGAAATTACAATTTATTATACTATTATTCGGACATGCACATTAGCATAGAGCAACTCTAGCAGACAGGTATTATAAACAGTAAACCGCCTGCTACTAATAATTTCCCATAATATCATTGCGTGCGAACTGTTGTGCGTTTATTACTAGGACGGTACTCGGAAACCGCGGGTCGGGACACACTTGCGGAGATAACGTGGCGTTTTCAAATAAACAGTAAAACGCCTGCTAATAATTTGCCATAATATCATTGCGTGCGACCTGTTGTGCGTTCATTACTAGGACGGTACTCGGAAACCGCGGGTCGAGACACACTTGCGGAGAACACGCGGCGTTTTAAGATAAACAGTAAAACACCAGCTAATAATTTCCCATCGTATCATTGCACGCGAACTGTTGTGCGTTCATTACTAGGACGGTACTCGGAAACCGCGGGTCGAGACACACTTGCGGAGAAAACGCGGCGTTTTCAGATAAACGCCTGCTAATAATTTCCCATAATATCATTGCGTGCGAACTGTTGTGCGTTTATTACTAGGACGGTACTCGGAAACCGCTGGTCGGGACACACTTGCGGAGAAAACGTGGCGATTTCAGATAAAAAGTAAAACGGCTGCTACTAATAATTTCCCATAATATCATTGCGTGCGAACTGTTGTGCGTTCATTACTAGCACAGTACTCGGAAACCGCCGGTCAAGACACACTTGCGGAGAACACGCGGCGTTTTAAGTCAAACAGTAAAACGGCTGCTGTAATTGCATGTAAACTGTTGTGCGTTCATTGCTAGGAAACTGCAGAAGGAACACACTGGCGGAGAACACGCGGCGTTTCGAGATAAACAGTAAAACACCTGCTAATAATTTCCCATAATATCATTGCGTGCGAACTGTTGTGCGTTCATTACTAGGACGGTACTCGGAAACCGCGTGTCGGGACGCACTTGCGGAGAAAACAAGGTGTTTTAAATTAAACAAAATGTGGCTGTTGATGTGCCTCTGATGTGCAACTTTCAGCTTCATGAGCCCTAGTAGATGCTCTTTTGTAATGTCTGCCTTGAGTACCTAAGTGAAGCTGCCGATTCGGTTGGATAATTTCGACATCGGATATTCATCTTTATCAAAAATCATAACAGTTTACTGCTAGCCATAAGCTTATCATATGAATATAACCATTGCGGAAGGGTAAATCCATACTCATCAAGCAGTGTAAGATGTAGAATAGATACACAGGGAAAACTGCATTCATTGCTCAGGTGAATTTGTCTCTTAATTTACGCATCTACCCGGATGGAAATACACTCACGCACTACACTTACTTTTGTCGATTGGGAATTTGGGATGCTACATCGAAGTAAGAAATAGGGCGGTGTTGGTTAGCACAGGCTATGGCGCATTAGTCACCGCGGCGTTTTTATTCCTCGTGTGTACAGCCCTTGATGTGCTCCTCGGCGATCCCTGCTTTTAGGGTAATTACACACCGCGGTAGATAACTTATATCGGACGGTGAAACCGTCCGTACGCTTTTAAAAGAGTATAACCGCGGCGTTTTTGCCCCTAGTGTGTATACCCCTCAATGTGCTCCTCCACGATCCCCGCTCTTAAGGTAATTACACACCGCGGCAGATAACTGCTCCGATAGCACTCCATAACTCGTGTGCAGTTATGAAAATGTACCGTCAGCAGCGCACGTCTCTAACACCCGAATCAGGAAATGGACTAGAGTTGGAGCTTCCTTCAAGAAGCAAATAAAATTAAATTCGCCGCTACTCGCAAAGAAGAAGAAGCAAAAAACAACGTTATAGGTTACTTTTAATTAAGTACCAATATTTTAAGGGCATGTTCTACTCACAAAACCGAACAAATCAACAAGAAAATTAACCTTCCATACAAAAGTGTTGAAAAAATTCGTCACTTAGAGGTAGTATCATAATTCGTTTATATTTGCCATATTTTTGAGGGGGTAAAATTTATATTTTCTCGCACAAGACCGGGACAGGTGGCACAAAAGAAGGGATATTTCTTTGCCCTGAAGTGGGACATAGAAGAGGCGATTAAAAAAAACGTTTATTAGTTTCTAATAAAGGACAACTTTCACCTGGTTTTCATATTGTTGATAAGAACAACCAGCATAGGATGACCTCTTGAATGTGTAAGTAGAGGTGACGCAGATAGAAAATAAATAGAAATAAGCTATATCACACAAATTCCACTAAAATACTACACTAATCTCTGGGACATATTATTAATTATTTATTTCACAGCCACTAAATCATCGCCAGTTTTGCGGTCAAGGTGAAATAATAATTTTATATTATAAAATTGGAGTAGTGTTTGTTTGTTCCAGTTTAAGTCAGGTTGTAGGTACAGACTTCAACTAATCTCCTATGCTGTGCAGAAATATTATAGATAGGTAGGTATTTCGACTCGGTGTCTCACGCGATAGAAGAAATAAGGCTCATGAATAACTTTTTCTATCGTTTTGCTTTTGATCTTTAATTGGTAAGAAAAATCGAAGCTTATTGCAGATGACAGCAGCTGCAGACGCAATTGTGTCTAAATGACGTATCGACAACCAATATGCAGTAATCTTTGACATTGACACATTTTTGACCAGTCACAGAAAAAGGCACAGGCATATTATATAGTTCTCCAGTTTTTTACATCATTTACAGAAACGCAGGCAAAGCCACATGCGAAAAGTTGTCAAGTATAAGATATCTCAAAGATAAGCATTCCAGGTAGAAACGTGATAAATCTTGGAGCTGAGACACTGTGGACAGACACGATAATAATTTATTACGCTTACGACAAACCAGACGAATTAGCCCGACTCTACAACAATGCTGAACCTAATGGGTTGGCTGGAGTAAATTGTTGGAGCAAAAAATGTAATAGCGTAAATCTATGTTCAGTATGGCTAGTGTTTATTTATTTATAGAAAGATAAATTGCAGTGTCTACTTTGCTTAACTTGTCAATCAGCGTTTAACTTTTATGTAGAGTCTATAAAAGAAAATAATCGCTTAAAATGTCGCGATCGCATACTCGTGGGATGATTTTGGGATTCGTGACAGCCACCGCTCAAATAACCTGTGACAACCGCAATTTTGATGCGGTGACGTGTGGCATGGTCATATGGTGTCCCGGTTTTGTATGGGACTTCGTAAATTTTTGGAAAACTTGCAAATTTTTGAATCGCAGGCTGGATTTGAACTAGTTACCTTCGCTATTTGTACTGGCGACGCCTCTACCATCTGGGCTACAGCGGTTCATTTCTAGAATTGAATAACACGGGAAGTGTTTTATACGGGGTGTTAGGGACGGTGTAACGAAAACTTTGCAGACGTGCTCAGACCATGAAACTGAACAACTTTTACTATGGAGCCAATGGTGGGAAATGAAAAAAAAAATCCGGCCTCCCATACAAAGTCAGTCAGCTGATCGTGAATTTTGTATGGGAGGTCGGAAAATTTTTTTCGTTTCCCACCATTGGCTCCATAGTAAAAGTTATTCAGTTTGATGGTCTGATCATGCCTGCAAAGTTTTCGGTACACCGTCCCTAACACCCTGTATTCAATTCGTAAATTTCTATCGTCAACAACCATATTTGGATAAACACCGAAAAATATGCTCACGAACCAAATGTTACAATAAACATTATACTTCCTAAACAAACCGTCTTGCTGACAGTACACTTTGTCGCAATAAAGCCAAACATTACATTACACACCACACCGCAAGATAGATATTAAAAACATGGGCGCGGTTTAATTAGAAATTTAACCTGCTAATAAATTACGGATGGGCAGAACGCCACCCAAGGTGTGGCAATACTGAACACTGCCACTCTTAGAGCAAATAAATTAAGACAGATATAACCAGAGAGAAATCATGAAAATCAATAAGTTTGAACCACCCACAAACACACAACTAAATGCACCAAACCATAAAATACTCCTTTGGTAGGTATCTATGAGGTGAGGTGGATTGCAAACGCACTGCACGGCACGATATACCTAATTGTTCTTCTTCTTCACAGTCATCATAATGACAACCTTTGACAGCCATTTAATGCGGTGAGGTGACGTGCGCTCTGATATTATGCGATGAGATTTCCTAAAATCCTTTCATCAACAAAAATTGGACCTACCAAAATTATTGTGGAACGTTATTATTATTATACATACATATATTAGTAAGTATTTTATAACATTTATTTGAGAACGCTATCGCTAAGTCCAACCATCGCCACCAACCAAACCAAGCAACGGGATTTTTACGACTTCAGTCGGGTTGTTCGTTGGACTTCCTCTAAACATATTCCCTCGTTCCGCGACCACACTCGCCTTATTTCCCGGGAGACCGCCCGTGACGTGTACCGGTGCAAACCACTCATTTTAGGATATTTTCGGAACGTGCCACACTTTCTGAACTCCACTATTTCCTGAAATTCTTTCATCAAATAAATGGGATCCAACAAAAATGTTTATTTGCAAACGCTATAGCAAAGTCAACCATTGCCACTAAACCAAGCGACGAGATTTTTACGACTTCAATCGGGTTGTTCGTAGGACTTCCTCTAAGCTTATTCCCTCGTTCCGCGACCACACTCGCCTTATTTCCCGGGAGACCGCCCGTGACGTGTACCGGTGCAAACCACTCATTTTAGGATATTTTCGGAACGTGCCACACTGGCACGCCACTATTTCCTAAAATTCTTTCATCAAATAAATGGGATCCAACAAAAATGTTTATTTGCGAGCGCTATAGCTAAGTCAACCATTGCCACTTAACCAGGCAACGATATTTTTGCGACTTCAATCGGGTTGTTCGTTGGGCTTCCTCTAAACTTATTCCCTCGTTCCGCGACCACACTCGCCTTATTTCCCGGGAGACAGCCCGTGACGTGTACCGGTGCAAACCACTCATTTTAGGATATTTTCGGAACGTGCCACACTGCCACGCCACTATGTGACCGTACGTGGATGACTGCAGTTCGCCTACGTATACTTGTTATTTAGGCAATACATGTCAATAACGTAGAGTACTACAACTACTAATTTTAGGATATTTTCGGAACGTGCCACACTGCCACGCCACTATGTGACCGTACGTGGATGACTGCAGTTGGCCTACCTATGCTAGTTTTTTAGGATATCGTAGAATACTACTACCACTCATTGTACGATATTTTCGGAACGCGATTATATCCCACACGACTGTGTATATCGACGTGTGTACGTGCAGATGACTGCACTTGGCCTGTGCTTACCTTGTCAAATATCTTATTTTGAAACAGCGCCCATACGGACTACTACTGGTGTGAATCTGCGAGGCGTCGGTCTCATGTGTGTGTCCTACGACAACTCGATATGAATTTCGTCCTCTACTATAAGCTGCTTGTACCGAAGCGGGGCAACTGTTAAACTTTGTGGAGCCCAGTTTAGTTTCTACACTGAACTAGTGAAAGAGAAGGAAAGACGAAAAGTATATTTGCAAAATAAGTAGGCGACTGTTTCGATTTCAGTCCATCTCTTCAGTTAAGGAAGTACCTAACCTTACGACAGCTGGAGTTTGAAAAAAACTGCGTTCATACGAACTACTGGTGCAAATCTGCGATGCATCGGTCTCATGGGTGTCTTACGACAACTCGGTATGACTTTCGTGTATAGCCGCGTTTGCTCGAAGCCGACTCTCTGGATTGCGCTAGCCAATACTTACTTTGTGGTTTCGTCCTCTACAATAAGCTTCTTGTCCAATAAATGTGCTCTGTTTGAGTAGCTTCACAGAATCGAAGTAAATATTTTTCTTTTCTAATCCTGCTAGTTTTTTGAAAGCCACACACGACACATTTTCACCATACCTACCTACTTAGCAAAACGTAGACCAGCCGAAGCTCTGCTATCGCTATGTTTATTATGTCATTTCCCCTTTGTTATCCATTAATGTCACCTCCAACCGTCATTCCATATTTTAGTAGTATTTCGAGCCGGCTAATTTTAATCCCCCGCTAAACGAAATATTAATTCTGAGTTGGGCTTTCTATTTAATATTTTGTGATCTTTGATGTTTCACGAAGTTTATGAGTACTTAATAATAAAGTGAGGGTTTTGTTTATCTCTAGAAATATACAAACGCATCCCTTAAAATAAACTTTAGGGTTCCTTCAGTTCTAAATCTCCAAGATGCCTGCTGATCTTAGAAAAATTTAATATTTTATGAACATGACATCAAGGATTAGCCGCCCAAAGGTTAATAAAATACATCTACATTTACATACATCTCGCCTATGTACCTTGCGGGGTAGGCAGAGCGTAGACGGCTGTTAAAAACGGCCATTTAGAATACGTCTGCAATTGTTTCAGAATCACTTAGAAGACTGTGTGAATTAATATTGATTGGCACAGACCTTTCTAGTAAAGTATTCTGACTCGACCTATGCTTTTATATTAGGTAATCAAAGAAAGGAAGACCTTTCCTTTTAGAAAACTATGATGTATCTTAAATTTTCGATTCTTCCACATCTGTGGGTTATCTATCAATGTTATCATCCCTACAAACGATGCCCATATACCTACCCACCATCATTGTAGGTAGATACCTACTAAACTGTACTATCCCTAAAAACTGTCATCACCACATCATACGGAATGTCTCACCATCTGTGGTGTAAAAAATCAGCATCACATCGCTGGAAACCATTCCAGAGGCGGTCACGAATCACATCAGCTAAATTGATGCTGATTCTTAGAAACGAACACTAGACGAAGACATTGTATTGTCGGCTTTTTGTTGAAGTTATACCGAGAATATTTAGTTTTTGTTTTAAGTGAATTAAAATAATGAGGCTGTAGGTAGAATCGACCCGTAGGTATGGTACCTACCTAGTCAAATTCTCAGAATCACGGAATATTTTAGGACAATAGAACAGTGCCTAAAGTTATACTTATGATATCTATGCAATTAACACTACGGCTTTCTATTTTGGTTACAGTAAGCAAAACAACTACTATTTTTTAATTAGAGTTTCTTTGTTTGCGTATGTCGCGTTTAGTCTGGAAGTGTAGTAAGCTAAAGTGGCAGTGCGCTGGTCGCACCAGTGTCGTAGAACCGATGGATTTTGGTGGTAGCAGGTAGTACCGATGGACGCCCTCCGGCTAGCCAGATAGACCGATGCTGGTAGCGACTGGATAGCGAAAACGGGAGATCGTGCCTTGTGGCGTACCATGGGGGAGGCCTACAACCAGCAGTGGACTGCTGTGGGCTGATATAATGTGGTGTGATTTCGGCATCTTTTTTCAACCATCGTCACTCTTCGTTACTTACAGTTGCGGTGTGATTTAATCCTTAGAAATAACTACCTACCTCTAGAAACTCGAAGTGCCACTATGCATTAAATTAAACAGCTACCTCTCTGCACATTTCATCATTTACTTGAAAATCTCGTATTTATCTTAATCAGGCAGGAACTAAGGTCTTTGTGGGTATTCTTAGTAATTGATAAAGGCAGTGTGCATACGAGTATTGTTAAACTCAAGTTCTTAAGAGATTTTAAGTGTAGTAGTATAGTGTCAGTCAGTAGCCTGATCTTTTAGATTTCTCAACAAGAGTTCTGCCATTATCACCCCAATTCTACCCCTAAGTGTCCTAAACGACTAAGACTTAAATGCAGGGAAAGGGCAGCACTAAGTACTCCTTGTGAAATACAGCACCTTGCGTTGTGCTGGTCATTACGCCTTCCATGGCCTTCTAACCCTGTTGAGTATTATACCTATGTATAGCAAACACCCCCATAATAGGGAAGAAAGGCTCACTTATGTCGCTTTTAACGAAGAATACCTAAAATTGGGATCTAGGAAATGCCTCCAAAGATTTTCTCGAAATTTCGTATCTGGGGGTTTTGGGGGGCGATAAATCAATATAGATTCCAAAAACCGTTGCATGACCCCTTTTTTCGGAGTATCTTATAAACATCTGTAGAAAAACCAAGGAACCTCAGATAACCAGGTATTTTATTTTAACCTCGGATTTTTAAGTTTTCGTATTAGCCAAATCCCGTGAGAACTAGCCCTTACTTGCGCAGGCGCAACTCGCCGAAAGGCCGCGGCGCCTTTGATGCGCGATAGCGGCGCGTGTGATGTCCGCTCCACGCACCGCCTAGCCGACAGGCAGGGACCCAGGTAGGAGGACTAGGGACCTGGGGCCTTAGTAATAAGGGCCCCCCAGAAGCACCTTTGTCGTCAGGCTACTCCTTACACTCCTCCCAAAC